GCAAGGATGCTTTAAATTGATCAAAAGTGATGATAAAGACATTCATAATGTTACAAAAGTTTTCCATTTCAGATAAATGCTGTTCTATTCATCATCTGAAAAATTCTACTCAGCTGTTTTCAACATAATAAAAATAATAGATGTTTTCTTTTTTTGCAGCAAATCTGAATATTTTTATTATTTCTGAAGGATCGTGTGACTTATTATTTGATGCTAAAAATTCAACTTTGAAATCATTAAAACAAGTTTTTTTTATTGATCAGGTTTCAATTTCCATACTGTTACATATTCATATTTGATTATTCTATTGTCAACATTGAATTTTAAAGTGATGTGATTCAAGACTTACTACTTTGGAAAGACCATCATATCAGGCTCAAGCCAGCTTTAGTTAGTTTTACATTTACCTTTTACCTTTAAAACATTGGTAACCTAAATCAACCTAACCATTAGTCGACCAGAAGAGGCTTGGTCGACCAAAATTTTATTAGTCGCTTAGTCACAGAAAAACAATAAATAAATAAAAATCCACATTGGTGAAGTCACGCAGATCGTTAGCGGCTGATCTATGTGGTAGTACATCGGGCAGGACATCCAAACGCTCGCCTATCATTCATTGCTCTCAAATATGACTTATCATCTGAAATATGTTAGTAGCATCAACTTTACATGGCTGCTCAATCTGATGTTAATCTAGAAAAATGTGCATTATTCAAGTGTTTGTGTGGCGTGTGTAAGCTGAACAGTAGCACGCTCACTGCAGGACAGATGGAGGCGCCGGTACGGTCACTTGCTCTTAAAATACTATCATACAGATAAGAGTAATACATCTTTCAAATCTGTAAAGTCTATGTTTATTTGTGTGCACTCACAATAACAACAAAACATGGCACTTTTGTAAAATAATGAAAGCAAACAGGATGCGCTTTCTGGCGTCTCGACCTCTGTGAATTTGAGCGTGAAACTCTGAAGCTCCGTGTATGCTTGCCTTACAGACATTAAAATATATATCTGTAGAGAGTGAAATGTCTACTTTCAAATAAACCAATTCAAATGGAAAACAAATATTCTCAGATTATGTAATCCCTATGAAACGTGCATACAGGCACATCACTACTGTGGAGATGATAAATCAGTGTCGCCGACTTCATCTCTTAAACTGAAAACAAAAAATCGCTAGTTTATCAGTGAATTATTAAAATGTTAAAGGGGTCATATGATGCGATTTCAAATTTTCTTTTCTCTTTGGAATGTTACAAGCTCTTGGTGCATAAAGAAGATCTGTAAAGTTGCAAAGACTAAAGTCCCAAATCCAAAGAGATATTCTTTATAAAAGTTAAGAGTCAACCACGCCTAACTAAAACAGCTCGTTCTAACACGCCCCCACATGTCTACCTCACGATGTGGGAAGATTTGCATAACGCTGCCCAAATGTTCACGCAAAGAAAGAAGGCGTAGCTTTTATTCTTGCTGTAGTATTGTT